ATGGAGCTCCAAGACTCTCTTGCTCTAAGTACTGTCTCTTCTCTGTCACTCCCAATCTCCAGTCCCCCCAAAGGGTTAACAGTCGGTGAGTTACTTAGCCTTTGTAGCCCCTGATTACGCCTCTTTATTATTGCTGTTTAGCACCGCTGGTCCTTTGTATATTGTCAAGTGATAAACCTAGAGATGAGATAGGAAAGAACTTTCTAGTCTCTTTCAATTGCTTGGTAACCATTATCCCAAAGAGGCTTAACTGTGTGGATGAGAGTTGGGCATCATGGAAGTGCAGCTGGAATGGCTCGTTGAATCACTAACATCACACCTGTCCTGCTCCTCGATGGAGAATTAACATTTGATTTCATTTAGGAAGCCATGAACATACCTTTATCTCTCAACTCAGATATCTGGAAGCCAAGCTGTAGGCTCTAAAATTTTAATGTCAGATCATGATGATACAATAAAATTCCCAACTCCTCTGACCTCACACAAACCACCAACTTGCAGTCCTGAGCCAAATCTATTCTAAGATTTCCCTGTCTACCGTCCACCCCACGGATGCCCACGAGGAAGCGCTGGGGACACTGTGACAGTGAGAGCCCCAGACCACAGCACAAGATTGCATGGCCACGGTGCGCTGCTCAAACGGCTGTCTTGCAGAGGAGGAATGAATGTTGGTTGCCTTTCTTATTCTGAAAGCGTAGACAGTCTCAGTGGGAAAGTATAAGGGATACACACACAGGAACTATCAACTGGAAGGTCATCACGTACGCACGTATCCCAGGGCCGCAGAGGAGCCGGGTGATGATGACATAGACATTGAAGACTACTCCAATTTTGCACGAATTGTTAGAAGTGGCAAATAATGTTTCCAAAGCGTCATCTGCCAAAACAAAGACCAATTCTGGGCAGCAGTCAACCGGCTGACACTGCACAGGACCTCAGCATCACCAGCTCACTTTAAATCCCATTAGCCACCTCCTTCTCACCACCCTCCCCCACCAAAGAGGACTTGGAAAGATCCTGGGAACGTGTGATCAGAACCTGGAATGGCCACGTCCTTCAAGACCATCTGGATCTGTTAATTGATTGTCCGAGTGGTGTCACTGTCCCCCAGGAGATAAAATTGTGAACCTTGAGAGTAGTCAACAAGGTGAATGGCTGCAAGTTGAAAGTGACTAACACCATGAAGCTGCAGCACTTCAGGGAACCGGAGACTGCCAGAGTACTGCCAGGCACTGGGACCCCTGCAGGCTGCACGCATGGCTCCCACGGAGGCGAGTCAGACGTGTGCAAAGACCATTGTGTGACGGTGCTGTCCAGAGGCCACCGGGCCCACTGGAGATGCACAGCATGGCCAACACCCATCGTTCCCAGGGAGCAGACAGCTGCAGAGCAGCGAGGGCGAGTGGAAGCCGTCATCCAGGGCTCGTCCAGACCCACCAGCCAGCACATGTGCTTGGAAAGTCCAGCTCGCAAGCCAAGTACAAATGTTCGAGCAGCTTTGGGTGGGCGGCAGGGAGGCCTCTCTCCTTTGTTATGCATGAGCCCTGCTGTCCCAGGCACACACAGCTCCATTCTAAAAATAGCCATGGACTTCTTGCCCTGTTTCGTCCTGATGACAGGCAATTGATGAATGACGGGAACCTCTTTACCCAGATGTCGGCCGATCCCCAGTGGGCTTCTTTCTGGTTTCCATGGAGAAGTATCAATTCCCTGCAAGCATGCTGTGGAAGAAGGGGGCAGCAGAGGCAAAGGAATCCCTTCCTTCAAGTCACCGAGAGAGACTGACATGGGGAGAGCCCTGCTTCACAAAGACCACAAGTGTTCTGTCTCCGGGCCAGCCAGCTGGTTCACGAAGCTCAGCATCGTCTGGCCCCCACCTAAGACCACAGGCCCACTTTTCCGGGTAGGAGGCCTTCTTTCTGGAAATCTCTTCTCGGAGAGGACCTCTCCCTCCATGTGTCCACCTCCATTAATGGAAGAATAAATAAGGAAGAGGCAAATTTATCAAGCAGCACGTCAGTGCGCCAGACCCAAGTGATCTCTCAGACCACTCAATAGGGTCCTTGAAGAGAGGAAGAGGGGGGAGCCCTCACAGTGATGCCTTCTGGGGCCTTTTAATTAGGAAGTACTTCAGAAAGTTCATGGAAATGGAATTTAAAAGCTTATTCCATGCATACGGGTTTTCAAAAATTTCATGGAAAGTGTGTATAATGGAAAACTGTGCATGGAATATTTTTAAATTTTTTGCACCAAAATAAACCTCCTTTGAGTCCATTTTCCATGAACTTTTGGAAGCACCCCTGACCTCTGAAGCCAGACTGATTTTCTGTGGATTCTTGTGCTTTGGTTCTGCTGAAAAGAGCAAAGCAAACTTGGAAGCCCTGGCTTGGGAGGCGGGGGAAGAGGGTGGGGAGTTCAAGGAAAAATTCAGATCCTTGCATCTTATTACAAATTAAATCAATTTTAATATCCACATTTAATTTCATCTCATCAAGTTGAAAAACAAAAGTTGAAAGGGACCTGGAAAATAATAATTGGGTGACATCGCCGAAACCAACATCAAGGACAACATGTTTTCTCAATTAAGAAAGATTGGTGTGTGCTTTGGGCAGAGCGGGGGAGATACTGAATACATCCAGTGAAATTTTAATTTTCAAAAGCAATCAACGTTTCAAGAGATGCCTCTGCATCTGAGGTCACGGTAGCACACTGACCACAGCTCATTAATGAATGGAAGCCTACCACTGGCAGACTGCACCGTGCCCTGCAGGGAAGCAGAGACAAGGAACTCCGCGCAGCAGGCCACATCTGAAGGGAAGCTAGCGTTTCTCCTCCTTTTGCTCAAACCCCAACCATGACCATTTCCAGTGGTAAACACAGGAACACCCATGCTGTGTGACGCTTCCAAGAAACACCCGGACAACATGAAGCAAAATGTCACATCCCACTGGGTGGTGGAGCCTCAAGTGCCACATCCAAGCCACGGGCCGAGGGGATGGCTGATTAAATCAGACTCAATCAGAGAGACTTTTTCCCAGAAGAAAAACTGGGTACACTTTGGAAAGCTGCATTAACTCTTTCTGGCCCTTGAAGACGATTATTTAAAAAAAAAAAAAGATTTATCTACTTATTTGAAAGGCAAAGAGAAAGAGAGAGAGAGAGAGATTGTCCATCCATTGGTTCACTCCTGAAATGGCTGCACGAGTCAAGGCTGTGCCAGGCCAAAGCCAGGAGCCTGGAACTCCACCAAAGTGACCCACATGGCTGGCAGGGGCCCAAGCATGTGGACTATTTTCTGCCGTTTGCCCAGGTGCGTCCGTAGGGAGCTGGTTCAGAAGTGAAGCAGCTGGGACTTGAACCGGTGCTTGGATATGGGAGCCAGCATCGCAAAGGGCGGCTTAACCTGCTGTGCCACAATGCAGGCCCCAAGAGGACATCTACAAACAGTGCCCTGGAAGAATTCATGCCCTGGCCAGAGGTATGTTACTTCCTTTCCAGGAATCCTAATATAAACTCTGAGCTCTGACTTCCCAGAATGGATGCTATTGCGAGGTAGATCCCTGCTTCTCACTTAATCCCAGCAAATCAGCAAACAGTCACCATCCCCACTTCAGAGAGACACTGAAGTTGAATCAGGTTAGGTTTGTGCAAAGTGGTAGGGCAGCAAACTCTCTAACCGCAGATCCTGCAACACTGGCTTAGGGCCAGGCTGTCTGGGGCTGAATGCAATGCCTTCTCACCATACGACTGGCTGTCAGAAGGGAAGACCAGCTTCCCCCCGCCCCATGCCTCCACGAGTGGACTTGGAAGTCATAGACACAGCAAAGCTGGGGACATTACTGGAGGTCCACTGAGCTGGCACTCAGGCAAGAGGGGCAGTTTCCTTTCTCTTGACCTCTGTACCTGTGTATTCTGAACAGCATGGGGCTGACCCGGCTCCTGAGCTCCAGGGTAGGCACACAACACAGTCCTGGCCAATCAGAGCTCCTCCTGCCCATCTGGGTACTACACCCAGTGCAGTCCTGGCCAATCAGAGCTGCCTCAGCCCTGCAGGTGCTGCAGGGTAGGGCACAGCCCCCTAGACAAGCTTTCTGTGGAAGCTGTGACAACAGGGGGCCTCCTCTTCCGAGGTGACAAGATCTTCTGACTATGGGCTGCCGCCCTGGCCCGCACACAGCGACAGTCTTTCTGAGACAGTCTCCGACAAAGGAAAGCAGAAAAGGAGACTCCCAGTGTCACCCGAGTCCACAGAGGCAGCCATGCTTACCGGGGGAGCCCTGGACTCCCCAGCGACACAAGCCAACAAAACCCCTCGCAGAGGCCATTTGAACGGGCTTTCCAGCAGCCCAGAGCACTGACAAACCCAAGTCCAAATTCTACAATGTACCAGGTGTGGCTGCTGCACACCCCTAAACTGAAAAACTGAGATCCAAAATGCTCCAAAATCCACATGACGCCACAAGCTGGAAATTCTAGACCTAACCCAACAGTCAAAACGCAAGTACATTAAAAATATTGTGCAAAATTATCTTTAGGCTAGGGGCATCAGATATATATGATACATAAATGAATTTCATGTTTAGACTTGGGTCCCATTCTCCAAAGCTTTGCATCACATTTATGCAAATATAGCAAAATCCAACCCCCACCCCAAAAAATTTCAAAACACTTCAGGTCCCAAGCATTTGGGGAAGGGATACTCAGCCTGAGCCCCACGACCCTCCAGGCAATGGTGCAACTAGACAGAAGCAGCTAGGTGCTCTCAGGATTTTGATGGCAATGAAGAATCGGGAGAAAGCTGACCAATCAATGGGAAGACGCTCGGCGGCGTCTGCACCGAGCGCCCTAGGGACCCAGCTACACAACCGGTGGCTGTGACAAGGGGCTGTGGTCCACAGCTACCGAGTGGCCTGGGCGTGTGCTGGGAACAAGCACACCTGAAACCACCCGCAGGCCCTCTGCTCTCAGCCAGGCCGCCGCCCACGCACCGCCACGCCTACCTGAAGCGCTGGAGACCCGAGACACGTCCTGGGACTGAGTGGAGCGGTTGCGGCTCTGCTGCCGGCGCCGGCCAGACGCTGACCGGGTGGTGCGCACGTGGACCCCGCTCACTCTGAAGAAAGCCACCATGAAGGGCTGCTTGTCGTAGGGGCCGTCCCTGCCCACCAGGCCTGCGGCTCGGGGGCTGATGTGGAGTCCTACAAGGCAAACCAAAGCCACTCTTTACTCTTGAGCCCCGCAGCTCCCTCGGAAGGACGCATCCCAGCTCCCCGAGAACGAGCGAGAGGGCACTGCGCCGTCTCAAAGGGCGCAGGCAAAACGCTCCTTCCAAACCTTGTGGATCCAATCGGGGAAAGCCTGCTCGCTCTGCTAGCCTGGTTCTTGTGTCTTCCTGATCCTTTCTCCCAACTGCGGAGGCGACTGGGTGGGTGAGGCCTGGAGGGGCAGCAGCAGCAGGGGGTAACCTTGAGCCGCTGAGCACTGACCCGCAGGAGGAGACGGGCCTGGAAGATCCCGGGGGCCAAGCCACTCAACAGCCAGAATTCCAACAGCTGCTCGGCTTCCTCCCACCAGCCGCTGCCTGCGGAAGCCGTGCTCCCACGGCCACTCCTGGACCTTGATCACCCAGCCTATCTTGGCGTCTTTTGCAGGAGAGCCCAGGGGAAGGGTTTGCTTTGTCATGCTGGTCACCAGGGAATGGTCAGTGGGTCACCCCGGGCTGAGGCATTGGCTGTAAACTAGTTCTGCCACAGCACCCGCAGGAAACGGATGAACACGGGGACTCGCCAGCTGCGGTAAGCCTTGAGTCAGCACTTACCATCCTGCGTCACCACGCTCAGCTGCAGCCCCATGTTATGCTGTGGGGTCAGCACCCACAGGTTGCTGGTGGCCGTGATGTCGAATTCCAGCCAGCCTTCCTCCGAGGCCCACACGACACGGGTGTCCAACAGAAACAGGTCAGAGTCTCTGCAAGAGAGAAAGATGGCACAGGAAGTCCCACACTGGCCCAAAGTTCAGTCTCACGCAGTCCTGCCCCGGCATCGGAATAAAAGAGGCCAGTGCGGATCAGATCTACCCACGAGGCACCGTGCACCCTGATGGCCATGGCAGTGCCTGGTGGGCACCACCCAGGACGTGGGCACCGTACGATTATAAGACAGCTGTTGCCAGAACCTAGATTCACAAAAAGCCTTGCTACTGCTACTCACATCAAACCTTTTTCTGCAACAGTAATTTACAAATAAACATGATTTTGTTCTATTTCAGTGTTTATTTTCTTATGGTACTGATTATTGCTAATAGCTTACTTTATGGCAAATGAAAAGAGGACAAAAGGGGGAGGCAGCGAGGAACAGCTGAAGGGAAGGTCAAGTTCAGGGCCCACGTGAGCAGGTACAAAGCATGCTGCCCTCCTTAACTTTTAAGTAGGGCCTGAACATCTGCACACTTCATGAGCAACAGGACGCCACGGCACATTTCTGAGTCATCACCCGTGCCTCTCTCTGAATTCAGGCCCCTGCAGAGTCTCCAGCCAATGTCGGGCTCTTTTCCACATGGGCTGTGTGACTGGGGGAGTGCTCGGGGGTCTTCATGAACTTCACGGAAAAGCATATCATGGGAAAACCTGCACATGGATCTCAAACATTGCAGCACCAAAATAAATTCGCCTTTTAATTGCATTTTGCCGTGAACCCTGTGACGTCCCCTCTCGTGTGTTGCATGATTTGAAAGCTCATCCCAGCACAGCTGCCATGAGCCGGGGGCTGGGGTTCCTCCGGGCAAACTCCGAGAAGCTATTCCTACCACTGGGCGGCACAGGGATGTTTTTGTATTTTTCTGTCCTCGATGGACATAATGCCACGGGCTGTGGGAAGACGCTATGAAGTTTCTTTCTGCTGCCCTTCATGCCATGATGATATTAGGGGACCGTCATCATCATGGGCTTCAGGGACAACCTGGATTTAAGTTCATATCCCAAGACCTCTGAAAGAAAATGGCCTGGGATTCTCGGGACATAGAGGAGGACATTTTAGACCCAGAGCGCCTCAAAGCCACTAGTACTAGAAATATTTAGTGCAACATCTTACAGAGTTAGAAACACTACTAGGGGGGCCAGCACTGTGGCACAGCAGGTTAAGCTGCTGTCTGTGGTGCTGGCATCCCACATGGACGCCGGTTCAAGTCCCGGCTGCTCCACTTCTGATCTAGCTACCTGCTAATGCACCTGGGAAAGCAGTGGAAGATGGCCCAGGTTCTTAGGCTTCTGCACCCTGAGACCCGGAAGACGCTCCTGGCTCCTGGCTTTGGATCGGCGCAGCTCAGGCTGTTGTAGCCATTTGGGGAGTGAACCAGCAGATGGAAGATGTCTCTAACTCTTTCAAATAAATAAATAAATCTTTAAAAAAATTACCAGAATTCAACACTAAATTTAAAAGAAGCATCACAATACTACTAGTGTTTACACTTAAAAAAAAAAAAGGCACTTTGTAACTTATTTAAGACTTTGTTGATTTGAGAGGAGAGTTACAGAGAGAGGGGCAGACAGAGAGAAGGTCTTCTATCCACTGGTTCACTCCACAAATGGCTGAAACGGCCAGAGCTGGGCCAATCCAAAGCCAGGAGCCAGGAGCTTCCTTCAGGTCTCCCATGTGAGTGTAGGGACCCAAGCACCTGGGCCATCTTCCACTGCTTTCCTAGGCCATACACAGAGAGCTGGATCAGAAGACAAACAGCTGAGACTCGAACCAGAGCCCCTATGGGATGCCGGTGCCACAGGTGGAGGCTTGGCCTGCTACACCAAAGTATTGGCCCCTACAGTGCCTTGTCTTTATAACAAAATTCCTACAAGCTAGGTAGACTAGCACTACCTCTATTTCACAGCTGGCAGATTGAGTCTGAGAGACAAAATCTTTGGACTTTTTTTCAGATATTAGAACATTTGCATATCCATAACGAGACGTTGTGGGGATGGGACCCAAGTCTAAACATGAAATTAATTTATGTTTCAAATATACCCAATACACATAACCTCAAGGTTACTTTATACAGTATTTTGACTGTAATCTGTCATGCGGGGTCAGGTAGAAATTTTCTACTTTGGTATCATGTTGGTGGCTTGAAAAGTTTTAGATTTTGCAGCATTCTGAGTCTTTGATTTAGGGATACTCAACATATAAATCAAAGAACCGGGACTCACTGTTCACCCAAAAGGTTTGAGGGCTTGCCATTTGGCATAATGGTTAAGAAAACACTTGGGGGGCTGGCGTTGTGGCACAGTAGGTTAAACATCCACCAACAGCATTGGCATCCCATATGGGCACTGGTTTGAGTCCCAGCTGCTCTACTTCCAATCCAGCTTCCTGCTGATGGCCTGGGAAAGCAGTGGAAGATGGTGCAGGTACTTGGACCCCTGCACCTGCGTAGGAGACCCAGAGGAAGCTCCTGGCTCCTGGTTTTAGATTGGCCCAGCTCTGGCTGTTATGGCCATTTGGGGAGTGAGCCAGCGGATAGAAGACCTCCGTCTCTCTCTCTGTCTGTAACTCTACCTCTCAAGTAAATAAATAAATCTTTTAAAAAAAATAACCACTTGGGATCCCCATGTCCCATTTCATAGGGCTTGGGTTCGAGTCCTGGCTCCTGTTCTGTTCCAGCCTCCTGCTAACGTGCACCCTGGGAGGCAGCAGGTGGTAGCTCAAGTTCTTGTATCCCCACGACCCATGTAGAAGACCTGGACTGAGTTCCTGGCTCCAGCTTGGCTTTCGGGTCAGCGACCCAGTGAGCGGTAGCTCTCTGTCTCTCTGCCTTTCAAGTTTTCCCCAATGACTTCCTCCTGCCATTTGAAATTATTGACAAACATGACCTGGGACGCATGAAATTAATTTCTCTTTTGGCAAATATTTGCAAGGCCAGTGACACATCCAAGTTAAAAATTTCAGATGTCTCAGAGGGGAAACACCCACTTGTTCCTGCTTCCACGACTGCTCAGTCAGAGGGACTTCTAGTATCTTCTCCAAGTATAAACAGTAGGAGCAGCTCAAAGGAGTTTACTCAGCTGCCTTGTTGAGTCTCACTAGGACCTGCTCCGTTTCAAGCTCTCTCCCACATGGCCATGTCACACACCCTGCTGACAAATTACCCCCCCCCCCCATGACAGAGGCAGCACCTGGGAGCAGGGAGACCAAGCAAAGAGCAAAGAGGGGATTGCAAGCCCAGCGCTTTGAAGTTCAGATGTGCAACGCCATAAATTCTCCTTTGGGGGGGTCACAGAAGATCCTTATCCAGAAACAACACAGACAGCATCAACTGTGGGAGAACAGCCAGCCCTGGAGGAAGCCCAGGACACACGTGTGTCAGAGGGGCAGCCTGGCCCGCGCTCTCTAGAATCCAGACTCACATGGGAGTTAAGTGGGGGCAAGCAGAACTGAATCATAACCCAGGCTCTTAGCCACTCCATGTTTAGAAAGGGGAATTGAGGGGCCGGTGATGTGGTGCGGTGGGTTAAGGCACTGTTGCGACACCAGCATCCTGCGTTAGCGTGCCAGCTTGTGTCCTGGCTGCTCCACTTCCTCTTCTGCTCCCTACGAACGTCCCTGGAAAGCAGTGAGTGATTACTCAAGTACATGGGCCCTGCCACTCCTGCGGGAGACCTGGGGGAGCTCCTGGTTCTTGGTTTCAGTCTGGCCCAGCCCTGGCTGCTGCTGCTGCTGCCATTTAGGGGGTAAAGTACCAAATGGACAATCTCTCTGTTTCTCTCCCTCTTGCTCTGTCATTCTGCCTTTCAAATAAATTTTAAAATGTTTATAAAAATACAAAGTTGAGTCAAGAAATAGAGTTCAGGCTAAAAAATATGGAGAAAGGAGGCTTAACATGAGATCAGAGATCAAAATCTACTGCACGGAGGTGCCGAAGCCAGCTGGGGATGTAGGAAATACCTTGATCTACACGGGGCGGACCCAGGGTCAGAAATCCCAAGAGGGCTTCACTCACAAGGGTCAGGGCAGGGGCGAGAGGTGTGTGCAGGAAGGCACCTGGGATGGTCGGTGCTGGCTTCGGAGGTCACAGTTCAGGGAAGCCCAGTGCCCCTCTCAATCCTGGCCTCGTCCCCCTCCCGACGAGAACCCTCTGCAAGTGCAGTGCAGGGCAGCACAGAAGGGCTGCCGAGGAAGCAATCTGTGTCCCTGGGGTTCAGTGCTGGAAATCTGGTCCCCAGCACCACAGTGCGGAGAGCAGAGGGCCTTAAGGAGTGACACGCTGTTGCCATGCCACCACGTTGATTGATGGGCAAGTCCCGCCCCCTGCCTCTGCTGTCTCTGTTCACACTCTGCCCTCTGCTGTGGATGCAGCCAGAAGGCCCTCACTGGGTGCAGCCCCTTGACCTTGGCCCTCCCGGCCTCCAGATCCGTGGGCCAATCCATTTCCTCAATTCTTATCAATGTCCCAGTCTCAGGCCTCCTGTTACAGCAGCGCCGAAGGAACCAAGTACACGCGTTCACGCAGCCAGGGGGAGGAACTTTACCAGGGAACTCAGCTTAAAGGCCCAGCTTTGCTCGCTCACCCCCAAGGCTCCCTCTGACCAGGTATTCAGAGAGACACTATTTATGGCAAATCACACAGACACTGCTCTGACCAACATGTCTCTGCTCCTCTTCAGGAACACACGGCCTTCTTCGCCAAGTCACTCTGTCCAAGCGCAGCCCCAGATAGGCATCTGTGCTGGCCCTGTGGAGCAGCGGGTCAAAATGTCCCTTGTGATGCTGGCATCCCGAGGGGTGCACTGGCTCAAGTGCCACCTGTTCCACGGCCGATCCGGCTCCCTCCTAATGCAGCAAAGATGGCCGGGATGCCTGGGCCCCTGCCACCTATGTGGGAGATCCCGACGGAGTTCCAGGCTCCTGCCTTCAGCCTGGCCTAGCCCTGGCCATTGCAGTCGTTTGGAGGTGCACCAATGGATGGAAGACTGAGCGATC